TGTTGATGGCTCCCTTGTGCAAATCTCTGGCAAGGGAGACATCAGATTGTCTGATGCCATCACCCTTTCCTCAGTTTTGCGTGTTCCCAAGCTTAGTACTAACTTGCTTCAGTTAGTAGTATTACTAAAAATCAAAACTGTTCAGTAACCTTTTACCCTGATCGGTGTGTTTTTCAAGATTTGGAAATGAAGGTGATTAGGATTGGTCGTGAGATGAATGGAGTCTATCTGCTTGAACATCATAGGGGAAGCAGAGTGAAGTTGGAAATTGTTTACCTCTCAATGTTGGAGTAAAATTATACTTTGGCATAACCTCTTAGGTCATTTATCTTTTGGGTCTTTGAAGGGTCTTTTTCCAAACTTATTTGAATCAGTAGTAGAACTGTAGAAGTGTCTAATTTAAAGTGTGAAAGTTGTGAACTCACAAAACATAGTAGATCATTTTATCCTTTGAGTAATAAAAGAAGAAACTTTCCTTTTGAAATTGCACATACCAATGCTTAGGGGCCATATCATACTCCCACCATGGGAGGGTACAGATACTTTTTGTTATTTGTTGATGATTATACCTGTTTCTCATGGGTTTACCTTATGCACTCTCAAGATGAGGTCCCTTCTCTGACCTAGGCTTTCCATCATATGGTTCTAACCCAGTTTGAAACTAAGATCAAAATTCTTAGATCCGATAATGCCCATGAATACTTTGCAAAACCCTTGGCATCCTATCTCCTTGATCATGGGGTCATTCATCTAAGCACCTATCCTCGTACACCTCAACAAAACGGGGTTGATGAGAGAAAAAACAGAAATATCTTAGAGATAGTCAGAAGCATCATGCTCAACTCTAATGTTCCCATACGCTTCTAGGGGGATGCAATCCGTACAACCGTGTACCTTATTAACAGGGTTCCTTCACAGGTTCTAAACATGCAAACTCCATTCAGTCTTCTGTATCCAAATAAGGACCTATTCACTATTCCCCTTAAAACTTTTGGGTGTACTTGTTTTGTTCAAATCCTTGGACCTCATCACTCCAAAATTCATCCCAAAGCTACTAAATGTATTTTCCTTGGATATACACAAAATCAAAAGGGATATTGCTGTTATGAGTCTGTATCAAGGAAGCGTTTTGTGTCCATGAATGTCACCTTTTTTGAGGATGTGCCCTACCATTGTAGGGCTTCTCCTCAGGGGGAGAGTAGTGAGGAAGGGATTTCAATTTCAGCCCCAAAAGTTCCTTTACCTGTCCAAGTTATTGAGGGGGAGAGTTGTAAAGAGGGTGAGGGTTGATTCTCGTGTAACACAGAAATTGGTGGAAGCAGGTTGATTCTCGTGCTCAACAGCAATCTAGGTCAATTCCAACATCTTCTACAGCCCCAGGTCCAAACACTACTACTGCTCCCACAATTGATCCCACTATTACAGATGCACAGCCTTCACCATCAGATGATCTTGATCTTCCAATTGCAATTCATAAAGGAAAGTGTCGTTGCACCTCATCCACTGCCCATTGCATCTCCAAGTTCCTTTCCTATGATTGTCTCTTAGAATCCTATAGAGCTTATCTGGCATCTATTGCTACTATTCCTATACCTAGAAAAGTACAAGAAGCCCTTTTGATACCTGAATGGAAGGAAGCAATGCAAGTAGAGATGGATGCTCTTATTAAGAACAACACATGGGAACTAGTTAACCAACCTGAAGGGAAGAAGCCTATTGGATGCAGATGGGTGTTTATTGTGAAATTAAATGTTGATGGTACTATAGAAAAGTATAAGGCCAAATTGGTTGCAAAGGGATTTACACAAACTTATGGCATAGACTATTACAGAAACCTTTGCAACTGTTGCAAAGATGAACACTATCAGAGTCCTACTATCCATTGTTGCAAACTTCTCATGGCCATTATTTCAGTTGGATGTTAAGAATGCTTTCCTCAACAGAAACTTGCAAGAGGAGGTATACATGGAGTTACCCTCTGATTTTTATAGTATAGAAGCAGGAAAGAAAGTTTACCTTTTGAAGAAGGCCCTGTATGGACCAATGATTTAAAAGGCACGCCTTAGGCGCGCCTAGGCGCACAGGCAAGACGCATTTTAGGGTATGCGCCTCACCTAGGTCCTAGGCGTAGTCCTTTCAAAAGGTGCATGCTTGGTGCGCCGCCTAGGCATGTGCCTGATGCGCCTTGTGCCTCAGCCCAGGTATGCGCCTTGTGCCTCAGCCCAGGTATGCGCCTTTTGAGAATTTGACGCCTTTTTGCCTTTTCTGAACATAGCGGCTGGGCCGGGGGTTCTGCCCCCAGATCCCCATGCTACACTCCTCGAGGCAAGCCTAAACAAGTCCACATTAGGTCTTAAATTCTTAGTTTCCGCTCACTTCACTCGCTCACTGAAGCTCCGAGAACCCCTAATTTGGTAATGTTGTTCATTCATTCATCCTAATGGAATGTCTTCTTAAAAAGCAAGTAAAACTATAAAATCATTATTTTTTGTGTGAAAACTAAGAATTTAAGACCTAACATAGACTTGTTTAGGCTTGCCTCAAGGGGCGTGGCATAAAGGCGACTTGTAGAATCAGGAATCTAATATGTTTTACATTACATTAGCTACGTGAAGTAATGCAATTGAGTGAAAAAAGAGATTAGAGGTTTTAAATGCTTGAAAATGTTTTATATGTTTGATTTTATTTTTAAATTCTCATTTGAATATGCTTTACATAATTATATCTTATGTTTATGTATTTTGATTTTAGATAATAGGTTTTTTAAAACATTATTTTAAAATTTAAGTTTATATTTTTTTATTAATATTATGTTTAGTATTTTTTATTTTTTTGATTTTTTTTTTACTTTTTAGCATTCTTTTATAATTTTGCGCCTTGCTTCAAAAAGGCGTGTACCTTGCCTTGCACCTTGCCCCTCAAGCGCAAATTGACCCCTGTGCCTTTTATGCACCTTGCACTTTTAAAACACTAGTATGGGTTGAAACAATCTTTGAGAGCTTGGTTTGATAGGTTTAGACTGGCTTTGGACAAATTCGGCTACATGTAGGCTCAGTCAGATCACACTCTCTTCTTTAAGAAGATAGATCTTTCCCTGATTCTACTTGCAATCTATGTAGATGACATTGTGATAACAGGGAGTAATGCTTAAAATTGAAGCACTCAAGCAACATCTTCACAAGGAATTTGAAGTGAAAGACCTAGGGGAATTGCACTATTTCCTAGGAATTGAGGTAGCTCGATCTAAGCATGGCATTTTTATCTCTCAAAGGAAGTATGTTCTGGACTTATTGGAAGAAACTGGAAAGCTAGGAGTGAAACCTGTTGATACACCTATTGAGCTTAACCATAAAATAAGTGCAAAAAATGGAGAACTTCTTGAGGACAGGGCTATGTACCAAAATGTTGGTTGAGAAATTTCTTTATCTCTGCGTAACTCGGCCAGATATTTCTTATGTTGTTAGTGTTGTTAGCCAATACATGCATTCTCCTAGGACCACCACCCCCTTAAAGTAGAGAGGATTCTTACCTAGTTAAAGAATGTCCAGGGAGAGGTATACTCTTCAAAGAGTAGTGGTCACATGAAAATAGAAGTGTATACAAATGTGGATTGGGCTCGATGTGTTGATGACAGGAGATCCACCTTTGGATATTGTGCATTTGTGGGGGGAAATCTTGTTTCCTGGAGAAGCAAGAAACAAAATGTTGTTGCTCGCTCAAGTGCAGAAGCAGAATGCAGATCCATGGCCAATGATGTTGCAGAAGTATTATGGCTGAAATCCTTGCTTAATGAGTTGAAGATTGATTATGAGAAGCCTCTGATGCTGTATTGTGCTAATCAAGTTGCAATTAATATTGCCCACAACCCAATACAGCATGACAGGACAAAGCACCTATTATAGTTAGTAGTGTGTGTGAGGGGGAGTGTAGAAATAGTTAGTAGTGTGTGAGGTTCCAACCCCACACCTATTATAGTTTTAGTAGTGTGTGTGTGTGGTTCCAATCACACTTATTTATTATGTTTTTTATTTCCTTTTATAATTGGACCGGCTGGGCCTTGTTTACGTTTATCCTTTTTTTTCTTGTTGGAGTTTAAGTAGGGGTATTAGAATAACTCCTACTATTGTAAGGAGATTAATGATTATAAATATCAATTAAATGGGGCAGCAGAAACACAACAAAAACCCCTCTCTTTTCTGAGAAATCTCTCTACGAGTTCTCTCTTCTCCTCTTCTTCTTTTAGTTTTATTTTCTGTTCAAAACCTAAGACTGGTTGCAGTCTTGTACGACTACTGTTAGTAAGAATAAAATGGGAGAATAAAATACATCTTTTTTCGTGTACTTTTTACTTATTGCTTTGTGCCCAAAGTCCAGAATTCAACGAAATTTCAGTCATAATTTGGTTTCATGCTTTGGAATTCAAGACCCTGCTTGATAGGGTTATCTTCATAACCTGTAGTCTAAACTCTGAAGTGAGACAGTGGTGGTGGATTTTCTGTATTCAATGTATAGCACATTTTCGCATGCATTGATATTGATGCATCAGCATAACGACCAATGAGGGGGCACTTGATGAGCTTTTTCTTCCAAGAGAAAAGAACCTTCCTACTTTTATTTAAAGAAGAATATGCATTTTTCATCCCATGTACAAATACCAGCAGGGTTCACATTTTGTAAGTTGGTGATATGCTTTGAGGTTTCGGGGAGAATAGATATGGAAAAAAAAAGCAAGTAAATTTATTTCCTTCAGAAAGAAACTTCTAAAACGTGTTCAGTGTTCACTCAAGGAGCTTATTTGCTATTTGGTTCCAAATAATAATAAAAAAAAAAACGCAAGGAAAAAACAATGAAGTTTTTTATTCATTTTTTTCTGTTTTTTCATCATCTACTCCATGTACACATTACACAAAATTGAGGGGGAAAGGCAAAGAAAGAAAGCAATTCTCTTCGTTATGGTTCCAAAAGATTTCATATCCCTCCTTTTCATTGCCATGTTGCAGGGCCATCATTATGAAACAGTATCAGGTTTTGTCTGTGAGGCTTTTGGATATATTCCCAGAACAGGTGAGAGTATCAAAGTTGTACTAGAAAAGGCGAACCGAGAGGAAGATGATGAATACAGCAAAGTGGAATCTGACCACCGAGATCAGAAGGAAAAACATCAAATTTTTAAAATGGAGGTAAGGTTTATAATGTCATTGTTTCAAGTTATTTTCAAAGTCATTGCAAGCATGTACTTATTTTCTAATTGTCTTTTTGTTTTTAGTTTAATTAGCATAATCTGAAAGCTAGTTTTGCACATGCAATATTTCTGCAGCACTGTGTTACTTTTCTCTTAACATAATGAGCCAGGTAATGTGAAATGTAGGACTTGGATGAGACACAACTGAGAAAGAAAATCTTTTCTGATTTATCTTATTTTGTTTACAGTCATGAGCTGCTGTTAAAGGTGGATGGATAGACACCTAGACAATTCCTTAGGACTGGGTAATAGCTTCATAGGAAACTAGTATGTGGATTTGGTGGTTGGTTAAATGTGGCAAAAGGTGGCCTAAAACAAGATATAGTCTGGTGCCTGGAATTCTTCACCTTGTTTTGATTGTTTTATTTTTTCCAGGCAATTCATCTAGAAAAGAAAGATAAGCGACCCAATAATGTCTCATATGGCTGTTTGCTTGGTGGATGAAAAACCCCCACAAGTTTGCCCCATCATTATCTATTTTTATCCAAGAGCCTGACACATGGCAAGGCAGAGACTCTCTGAAATCCTTATAGTTTTGTCCCATCATATTCCGTGACGTGATTTCTTTCTTCTTCTCACCACATGAAGATTGCAGGGCTTTTCTTGAGGTAGAGCCTAAGGCTGAGAAAAGAGAAGCCATAATTATGTTTTTGTCTTAGGCCCCATTCAGTAGCACTTAATGCTGAAGTCCTAAAGTGCTCTGTACAAAAAATGGTACTTTAAGAGTGTTCGGTTCACTCTTTTGTCTTCAGCCTTGATGTACTCATCAGTCATCACTACATGTCTTTGCACATGTTTTTATCATTGTTTTCTAAAAATACCCTCAAAACACTTTTCTCCTTTTATGTTCGAAGTCCCCACATAGAATAATAATCTCCTTCTTCCTTCCTCCTTTATTATTAAAAATAATAATAAAATATTAACAAATATTTATAAAATATTCGAAATAATATTAAATATTAAATTATTAATAACACAAGTAATAAAAAATTTTATAATTAATATTTGGCTATTTATCAAATTCTCAATTATTAAACTATTTTTAATAATTAATTATTAGTTATTACATAATCACATAATGTTAATTACTTATTTTTGTTATTAATTATTAATTATTTTTTAATTAATTAATTACTAATTATTTGTTAATTAATTAATTAATAATTATGAAATTTATTGTATACATTAATTATTAAATTCTCAATTCTTTAAAAAATATTTAATTTTTATAAATTCCACTATTTATTAATCATTTTATACTTATTTAATTAATTGTTAATTAGTTTGTTAAACAGTCAAACAAAATTTCTCATATCCAAGTTAAAATAGTCAGATGTCAATTTTCTGAACTCAGCATTCAGATTTTAAAACAACACTCTCTACATTCAGATATCAGCACCAAGAAAAGTTCACAAACTCCAATATACCTCTAAAATTATTAGAGTGCCAGAGGCATTTAGATGTCAGACTTTAGTTTAAACAAACAGGCCCTAAGCCTGTTTGGAGTTTGTGAACAGACCCATGCACAATGAACTCAATACTAAGGGCTTTGGTCACCTTTCAAACCACCAAGAGCAGTGATGAGTATGGATCCCATGGGTATTATATTGATTTTCTTATTTAGTTTTTGGTCATTATCTATAGATTTTAGATGCTTTCAAGTTGGGCAATTTTAGGAAATATTTAAAAATGTTAGATCTTTAGATATATTAGAAAATATGTTTTTCCTTTTAGAAGTCAACATCTCTTCTAATAAATTAGAGAATGAGATATCTGTGAGTAGGTTTGCTTCTTTGTTTGGTGGATTTTTTTTTTTTTTTGATCAGTAACAGATTCTTTGTTTGGTGGATTCCAGACACTCTTAAAGGTTCAGACTCCTTCAAGCTATTAGGTATTGACTCCTAGGGAAGCCTATATAGGTTATTCTATAGATCTATTTAGAATCTGATTTGACTTTGTCCCTGTGCATCATATTTGCATTACAACATTGTGTCTTGTCCTACATTTTCAGTATTGGAGCTTATGGTTGTCTCACAGTTTTCTTACAAAGCGGCAGATCCTCTAGGAAAAGATTCACCAATAACTAGTGTTATTACGTTCTGCCAACAGTAAAATGGCAACTGTATGGTCTCCTGAGCATGTTCATACGGCCCCATATTCCAGTGGAATACAAGATTTCTAATGAAAAAATAAAAGATCTGTGATATTTGCCTTTCCTTATTCTATGTGATGCTTACCATTGTATCTGGAGGTGATATCATGACATCTAGCAGCAGCTCAAGACAAGTATGATGCCATTTCTTCTTGTTCAAGTGGGTTAGGTCTTTCATCTCTATTTGTTTCTTGTACACCTAATCATGGCTTATTATAAGGTCTAAGGCCCCGTTTGGTTTGCAGAAATAGGGGTCTGGAATCAGAATCAGAATGGGCTATTCTGATTCCAACTGTTTGGTTGGGTGGAATCGGAATCCCATTCCCATTCTTGCTGGAATGGCATTCCCCCATTTGAGGGAATGGCCATTCCCTGCCCCTTTGGGAATGAAATCTTATTCCTTCTGATTCCAACTCCCATTCCCATTCCTGTCTGAACCAAACAGACTATGAGAATAGACCATTCCAATTCTGATTCCAAAGGATTTTGATTCCGATTCCGACTGCGAACCAAACGGACCCTAAATTTTGTATCTAATTATTATCTATTAGGGTAAATTGCAGATTACTATCTTGTACTTCAGGGGTAGTGGCAATTACCCCCCTGAACTTTCAGATTCCAACAAAGACCCCCTCTCCGTTGAGTGACGGAAAAGTTAATTTACCAAAATACCCACTCGAGAAACTTCTCTAAAATGGATTTACAACCAAAAAAAAACAAGAAACTTCTATGATAACCTGGAATTTCAGCAAACTCAACATGCAATTAATATCAACTAAGCAAGTAACAAATGGAAACCGGAAATGACACTAAAAAATCGTTGGAAAAAGGGTAATTTGAGGATTTAGAAAAGTTTAAACAGTCACATGAGAATCTTTTTCAAAGTTAGCTGATGGAATGCTAACAGAAGGGGTCTTTGTTGGAATCTGAAAGTTCAAGGGGGTAATTGCCACTACCCCCAAAGTACAGGGTAGTAATCTGTAATTTACCTTATCTATTACTAGAGGTTTCCATATCAATAGCATTTTTTATATCCATGACCCTTGGCCTTGCCCTTAGTTGATTAGCCTAATTCTGAACTGTTGATATTACCTACTAGATAGTCCCTTTATTACTCAAACTTAATTAATGTAATTAAGCTGTTTTCTATTTAATTATTTTAAAACAAAGTTTGGGAATACTTACTGTTGAGCCCTCTGAGTAGTCCCTACTGTTGTCCTTTTCATGGAAGGGTGCTCACTACTTGTTTTTAAGAATTCTTTAAAAAATACAAGGTTCTCCATGATATGAATTCACCAATTTGCCAATTGCTAATAGCATCACTCTTAGTTTTTTTTTTTTGATAATTAAGTACATGGAAGACTTCATCATTCACCATCTATGTCCCTCATTGACTGTTTTTTCTTGGTGTAGCCTACACTAAATTGGTGCTGTAGTCCATACGTGAACAGTCAATGACAATGCTTCAGTTTGTGTAGGATCAGTTCACCTGACTGATACATGATTTTATATTTTTGTTGTGGGATGCAGATATTGGAAGGAAATGCAAGAAAAGTAAGTGCTGTCCGATTTGAAAGGATAAATCATGACAATGCAAAACCGGAGGCCAAGGAAGTTACTCGTTTAGTCCCCAGAATCATGAAAAGGAAATGGACTAGTGGTGGCGAGGAATTTGATAAGAATGACCACGATGATATTCCATTCCGTGAGAGACTAGGGGATGGGCACTCTGATGGCTATGTAATTGCTGAACATGAAGATAATTATGATAATAACAGGAAATAGTAATTACATACTTCCGGCTCTTCCCATTGTTACAGCACTAAAAATAAGCAAAAGAGAACTAAAAAGGAAACTAACATATAAGGTTTGTTTACAGGTGAAGAGAAGTATCAACGTCCGCATCATCAAAACTTTTTGGTGTATCCATTACTGCCCTATCTCTGGGCCATGGGTTGTTTAAGAGTGGGGTCTCAGTGGCCTGGAAATCCACATGACTTGCCTGTGAGTTGAGATGGTTGGGGAGAGAACCTTGAAGAGGCGGGCTATGAGGAAGGATCAAATCAGGGTGGAAGAGCATCCTAGCTTCGTGAGGCATGTTTGGAGCAACCCGTTCAGACTCTGGAGTAAACAGTCTCAGGAGCTCTTTCTCCTCTCTCATTTCCTTCACTCTCTGTAACTGTCTGAATCTCTCTTGCAGGAGAGCAATAGAGGAATGGACGATGGTGGGATCACTACTCTGCCTACCCATTGGAGGGAGAATAATGTTGTAGTGAACCTTGAACTGGTGGGAGTGGGGGAGAGCATTTAAGGAGCCTCAAAGAGCTGCGTCTATATATAGTAATAGATTCTGTCTATTTGCATTAGTTAATGCATTTTGAGTCTGATTGATTCTCTGGATTATTATCTAATAAAGAGAGGAGAATCGGCAGCGGAGTTGCAAAATCCAAGTAGAAAAGGCTATGTTAAGCTAATCTAAGGAGGTTTGGGTTTGGTGGACGTGAGGGGCAGAAAGACTTTTTATGGTAGAAAATGGTGGGAAGGAAAGTCCAAAGAAAGATGGAAGGTAGTGTATGGAGGAGTGTCATTAGAGGAATAAAAGGTTGGGTGATGCTTTGTCGGTTTGTCTCAAAGAACCCTTTTGGCGTTGGAGAAGATGGATACCATTTTCTGGTTAGCTGCTTTGGAGGGATATTGTTTTTCTTTTTCTTTTTTCTTTCCTTCTTTTGCGCTTTATTTTATCCTTTGTGGAGTAAAGAGGAGAGAGAGAGAGGTGAGGTGAGGTGAGGTGAGGTTGCCTACTACCTAGACAAGACAAGGGTTGGAAGAGGGAATAATTTTTGAAGTTGATGATAGTTTTTGCTTGAACCCAAATATGGATGAGAGAGAAAGAGAACCCAGCAGCATCAGGAAGCGCTCCCTCTCCCCAAATCCCAAATCCCAAGTCCCCACCCAACCCCACCACAGGGGGAAAGGGAGGAAGAACCTAGAACGTGCTGGCGCTCCTCTTTAGATGGAGGAGAGAAAAGGAAACCTGCCACAGAAGTCCACCAAAATTCTGTTTTGTCTTTAAGCTGTTGGATTGGAATGGCATGGGGGAGAGAAAGCTGTTGATAGTGCTGCTGCAGCTGCTACTGCTGCTGGAGCTGATGTTGGGTTTGGGAGATGCTTCTCTTTGCAACGCAACATCTCTTCCATTATTTATCTTTTCTTTATTATTGTTTTTTCAACTTTTTGAAAGAGCGGGTTGTGGTCCTTGTGGAGGGAGAGAGAGAGATAGAGGGTTTGTGCGTTTGGCAGGTAAGTTCTGATCAACACTTGGGAGTATCTGGTTGCCGTTAGATACCCGTGGCTCATGCATTGATCTCTTTTATTCCTAGCAAGTGTGTCTATTTTAGTCCTTTGTGTAAACGACACCAACCTCGTGCCAGAAGTTACCAGTTGAAACTTCACTGTTTCGGGGCGTCCTAGTTAGGGAATCCTCCGTGGATCCAGCTGATTGGAATCATCAGAGATGGTCATAATCAATGTATCCACCAACTATAGGCGTTCTACAAAAAGCTACAATAGTAGATTTTTTATATCGCCGTGATTTGTCTATGAGAAACACTCCATTCATGTCAAACCCAGGTCTCTGGGGCCGACCCTTCTAGTGAATTCCTCTTGGAGGATATCTCCTCGCTCAAATTTCACATTTGATTTGATGCATACTCTTCAACCATCTTATCCAGTTAGTCCTCAACCTTTTCGTGTTTCATATTTCATTTACTGAATCCGTGATTGATTGAAACACATCACTCAAAAGTGCTGAGAAATGATCATAAGGAAAGAACGAGACCCAGTGGAAGCATCTTAATCGGAACTTCTGTTGGTTCATCATGGATGGATGGACCTCTCTCTTGACCTTACCACCTTTCAAGTTTCTCAGGTTTTCATCCAAATTCTCCTCAGAATAATCTATGTTTTTATCTTTTGATTTTTTTTTTCTGGATTTTCACACCAAATTGCAAGTTAAGCTATCGATTGGATTGTGTACATTGGCCGCAACGTGGCAGAATTGCATATGCAGCCAGGAAAGAAAATGTTGGAGAGATCACACGAAAAGGAAATGATGGGCAAAAGTGTCGATACAAAACTGCTCCATTGATATTGGTTAGATTGTCTACAACACTTTCTAAAATGAAGTATTAATAAAGTGCTTACCAAAAATGAAACTCTTTTTTGGGCGTGGCCGTGGAGTAGATGTGAGATATGGTCAAAAGTAAAGTGCTTTAGTTTTGCTTGTTTTTTACCCTAAGAAAGATGGGTCTGGATGAGCTGAAGACAACAATTTACAACGCGGGCTGGTCATCCAACCGCGTTGTAACACGTAAGCACCCCACCCCACTTTTAATGTTTGAAGTTAACGAAAGAGAAACTCCCCTCTCCGTTTTTTACATTAGATTGATTTAAAAAGGGTTTTGTCTCTTTAGAAAAATAACAGGGAAGAAGAGGAAGTGGGGTTATTTATTTATTTATTTTATTAATTTAAAATAGGTACTAAATGAAACGGAGAGGGGGGCTTCTCTTCCGTTAACTTCAAACATGAAAAATGGGGTGCTTACGTGTTACAACGCGGTTGAATGACCAGCCCGCGTTGTAAATTGTTGTCTTCAGCTCATCCGGACCCAAGAAAGATATGTTATGAAGATCACCCTACATCCGAAATGGTAACGTTGAATGACTGTTGCGTATACACCGATGATGTTTTATACTGAATCACGAAAGTAATCATTGCTTTTTGAAAATAGAGATGGGTGGAAGAGTGTAAAGTTTTACATCGATGTAGTTTTTATATTAGTTATCCATGTAAAACTTTAGAGCTGATGAGGTTTTACATCAATTATTAATGTAAAACATTACTCGATCCAAATGCACGTAAAAAACAGAATGATCACCGGAGTGGAATTTTATGTCGATAATATTTACACCCTCTTTTCAAATGCTTACAAAACTGAACCGATATAAAATTTACATCGGTTCTTAATTTACATTACATCCAAATGGATTTAAGATTAATCAACCTAAAAGGCTACCTGTCTAAGGAAAACAGAATGATCAGATGAATTTTAACCATCTGATTTGTGAATTGTTTCTGGTGGTAGCTTGAACCATTTATATTTTTGGTTTTG